CTTATTGGCTCAGATACAGTTCTAGACTCTCACAACCTTTTATGTAAAAATCATTTTAATATGGCTAGTGTAGTCCTGTGATTCCATACTTCAATATTTATCTGTACATGCAAGCTTTCCTTCTACACTACTCCAACAACTCAACCTCCCTCTCTTCAGGTGTCAGGAGAGGGTGTGGTGAACAAGGACCTGCCAAGCTGCTGGGAGTGTCCCAAGTGTACTCTGGCCAAAGACACGCAGACTGAGGTAAGGCAGCTCCCTGGAACGCTCTCTCGGTGACTGTATCTGTACTGTTTTAACCCCTCTGTCTCAGTGCAGTGTTCATGTACTGTAGTGTCCAGTCAATGTGTCTGGACTGTATTAACCCCTCTCTCTCAGTGCAGTGTTCATGTACTGTAGTGTCCAGTCAGTGTGTCTGGACTGTATTAACCCCTCTCTCCCAGTGCAGTGTTAATGTCCTGTCGTGTCCAGTCAGTGTGTCTGGACTGTGTTGACCCCTCTCTCTCACTCTCTCTCTCAGTCCTCAGTCAGTGATGAAGGGGATGAGGACAGTGTGGCGTCAGCAGGCTCTCTCTCTCCAGCGGCCCCCCCATCTGAGAAGCGCTCCCTGAGGGAGGGAGTGGGTGGTGGAGGGGGCGGGGAGGGGGATGAGGGAGGGGGGTATAGGTCCAGCAAACATGCTGGTAAACCCCCTCTCCCACTGTCAGCTCTGCCCTTGTCCCGGCGTCAACCATCCTCCTCCCTCAGCCAGCGTCCTCGCAGAATAGCGCCCCCTCCCTCCCACAGGCTGCTACTGCAGCAGCAACAGCAGCAACAGCGGAGGAGAGCCGGGGCTCTGGGGTTCAATCTGAGAAAGAGGGTACGTCACTGTCACCACTGGCACTGTAGCGCTGATGTGAATACAGCTGTGGAGGACGCACTGTGGAAGAAGTACAGCACTCTTACTCGTTACTACAGTCCACTTAATTATAATAGATTATCGCTTTTATGTGTAGCTGTTGCTTTTCTATTGCTCTTTTATAGCTGGATTGGGCTGTTCTGCTATCTGAATGACATCTGTTTTTTTTTCCCTAACAGATAAAAATGGAGCGTGACAAGATCTTAAACTCTGTGAGTATAGTAGAAAATTATTCAAATGCCTGTGATGGCCGAGAGTTCTCATTGCGTCATTGTGCCTTTGCTTGGTCCTTCCCAATTGCCAGGAGTAATGCAACTCATGCGGCATCTTCAGAGAATTAGACAGAGGGTCCTCCCTGCTCCCCATGGAACGCCCTTCCCGCTGAGCCGAGCCTGGTACCGAGGAGCTGGAAGGGTGTTTCCTGGGAGCTGGAAGGACTGCTTCCTCGTGCTCTCCTCTGTGTGTGCGTGAACTAGTTTGAAGTAGCAGAAGTCAGAAAAGCGTCTTAAGGGGGAACGAAGGCCGCTGCTGTGGTTGGTCGGCCTTTTTATAGCGCTGTGCTGGGGAAATCCGTCTCCTCCCCCTTGGACCAAGAGTGGTGCTGACAGAAATCTGGGTTGTTTTTTCGTCTTTCTCAGA